CTGGGCCTGCTCTTCCTTTTAGCCTGAACTACTGACCAAAGATACAAGGAAAAGTGGGGAGTCTCTCATATGTGAACACTGATGAGCAGAAACAAACATGTATCAGAAACACTCAGACAACAGAGGCGAAGAAGGTACTAGGAATTGTCTGACTTATCTAAAGACCACCTGGCAAAAAGCAGGTCCTTCCAAGGAAACTCTGGAACCACAAATTTTCCAGAGAACTGTTGGCCTGTTCACATCCCTCAAGTGTAAAGAATGTGACATGAGAAAACATGCAGGCTAAAAAGCAGACACTGACATTTATGCAGCTGCGGCTCAGGGCCACACACTTCATGGGCATCGTGTGCCAGCCCTGCTTAGCCATCACAACAACCCTGGTGGGCAGATGCGATCTTCAGAGAGGAATTCTTCTCCCATTTTTAAATGAGGAGACTGATGTGAGGAGGTTAGGTAGCTCAACCCTGATCACTTAGCTAACGGATACTAGAACGGGATTGTATATTTCCAAACATGAAGGCACCAGCTCACTTATTTTCCATGAACTTCCTAATAGGTTTGCCCTAAACTCACAAACAGGGAAGGTTGTTCCCCAAACCACAAACCTTTGACTGTGTGTGGCCGATCCTCTCCTTGCTTCTCATTTTCTGTCAACTCGCTTCACTGTCACAGAAATCATTGAGGATCCTGAACCTACATTAGGCCCCCAATTCAATCTCATGCCTGATTTAATCTTAAACTAAAAACTTCTGTTCTATTCCCCTCCCCCTCACTGCTTCTCCTGAGAAACAGAAGTAACATTTTTGCTATTCCAACCAACAATTTACAAATCAAAGAAGTATTTAACAAGCATATCTTGACAGAGTAGTGTTCTTTTTGAGGGCACCAAAATAATCATCAAAAAAACAAGTTAATCCATGGGAGTTTTCTTGAAGTATTAATAATTATTGTGTTTTTTTTCCCTCCCTGGAAGTGTGTAATGAGTGTAAACTGTAACTAATTAATTACAAGAGAATAAGGCCTCAAATACCATTGTGCAGTCATTTTACAGGGCTGATTTCCCTTCATTAACATGGCACTGGCCTTAGAAGTACTAAAAGATTTATGTACTTCACCTCCATTATTGTAATTAATTCTGTTTAACAATACCTTACCTCTCTGTGGTATTAGAAAGCTACTTGCTAAGAAGGTTGAATCTCTAGCCAAACTCTGAGACAGTATGTCAAACTAAAGAGTTAAAAGCATAATCATTCTACCAACAAAATTTTTATTACGCTCTCAATGCCAGATCTATGCTAGACACTGGGAACTCATTTATCTAAATATTTAAAGAGTACCCACTATCTGCCAGGCACCGTGATAGGCATTGGGGATGGAGAGATCCCTGTGTCATAAGTAACTAACTGGCTTTTATTCCCAGTTCCTGCAAGGGTACCTTGAATGCCGTGGAACTTCCCTAGTGATCTTCCTTATTCATGGTGGGCCCACACCTGACCTTATGTTAATAAGGTATCTTGTGGTGGGTCTCTGGATAGTATAAGCTAATGAGCATCTCTAGATGGGGATGGTTAGAGAATTGGGGCTTTGAGACCTGTGATATCAGCTAATCCCTGGGGAGAAGAAAGGGAGTAGAGAGTGAGTTCAACTTCATGACCAGTGATTCAACCTATTGTTGCCAGTGGAAGTGGAGTTCTTGCTGTGTCACAAAAAAGGCATTTGGGGGACCTACAAAGGAGGGTGAGGTTTGGTGGTAAGATTTATTTGGGTGAAAATAGAACATGGTTCCTGGATTTCCAATGTCCCATCATCATGCAACACCATTCACAAAAACAAGTCAAAATGAGCTACAGAAATAGTCGGCTTTCTAAAACGTTACTCTTACAAAGATGACCATAAGGTGAATTTTATGCTACTTGAGTTACATTCTTCCCAATGATTTCCACCATAAAATCCCTGAAAGGGTGTGATGGAGGAGCTAAGTGGCCTATGACAGTCTGCACACACCACAGAAACTGGAAGTCAGGTCTTGATCAGTGTGGCTAAGTTGGGTGAAAAGGTGGTAGGTTTGATTATCTGTCAGGGCATATACCCAGATTTCGGGTTCGATCCCCCATCGGGTAGCATGCAGGATCCATGTTTCTCTCTCACATCCACATGTCTCTATTATTCTCTCTCTCCCTTCCTCTATCTAAAATCAATTTTTAAAAGATTTTTAAAAAAAGAACCTTGAAGTCAGAATGACATTACAGATGAAACATGGGTACTAAGAACTCTCAAGATGCCCTTTCCTCCGAAACAATTATTCCAGCCCCACTGCAGTCTGACCCAATGGTTCTCAGACGTTAATATGCGACGAATTAACTGGGAGTCTTGTTAAAATAAAGATTCTAATTCAAAAGGTCTGGGCCAATGCCTGCAGTTCTGCATTTCTAATAAGATCCCAGGGTGTGCTGATGCCTCTGGTCTGAGGACTTCCTTCTGAGTAATGAAACCCCAGCTCAGCACTACGTAATAGAAAGAAAAGCCACAAACGCAAGTCCAATATGTAATTTAAAATTCTCTGGTGGCCACATTTTAAAAAAGTAAAAAAGAATCTTTTGAGATATAAATATTTTATTTAACCTAATTTATTCAAAATATTATTTCAAAAGCAACATAAAAATGTTAACGAGGTATTTTCAATCTTGCATTTGTACAAAGTCTACAGAATCCAGTGTTCATTTTACACTCAATTTAAAGTACTAGTAGCCATATTTTGGGTGCTTAGTGGCTATCTATGGCTAGTGGCTATTAGAGTGTAGCTTAACTAGTGAGTAGTCTTAGAGCCAAGGTATTACACTTAGAAAATCCATGCCTTTGGCTAGTGTGGTTGAAACAATTTGATTTTAGTGTTGTACTTCTTATAAACAACCTTTAAGACTATGTAATAGCATTAGCCGGTTTGGCTCAGTGGTTAGAGCGTTGGCTTGTGGACTGAAGGGTCCTGGGTTCGATTCTGGTCATGGGTGTGCAAGAGGAAACAATCAGTGATTCTCTCTCATCATTGATGTTTCAATCTCTCTCTCCCTCTCCCTTCCTCTCTGAAATCAATAAAAATATATTTTTAAAAAGACTAATAATTATGCCATTTTTTAGCACACTTTATAAATTGATTTCCATATATATATATATATATATATATTAGAGGCCTGGTGCACGGATTCATGCACTGGTGGGGTCCCTCAGCCTGGCCTGCGCCCTCTCACAATCCGGGACCCTCGGGGGATGTCAGACTGCTGTTTTGGACTGATCCCCACAGGCCAGGCTGAGGGACCCCACTGGTGCACGAATCAGTGCACCGGGCCTCTAGTATGCATATATGCTATTTGGTTAATCTCTTCCTGTTCTCCCTTTTCCCCCCTTCCCTCTGAGATTCATCAGTCTTTTCCATGTTTCCATGCCTGTGTGTGGAGCGTCTGCCCCCTGGTGGTCAATGTGCATCATAGCTACTGGTCAAACGGTCAAACAGTCGCTTAGGCTTTTATATATATAGATATTATTATTATTAATCTATATGAATTATGCATATAAAACAATACATAGAATATAGACATATATACTCATTTTCTATATATTACATATATTCATACATGCGTATAGAACAAGCATGTCAAACTCAAAGGCTAACATGGGCCAAATAAATGAGGCATACAGCCCATGGGCCACGAGTTTGACATGCTTGATATAGAGTATATGTATTCACATAGAACATGAAAAATATATAGAATATGAATATATAGTACATATATATTTAGAAGAGCAGCTATTATTCAAAAGATTGTTATGGTGTTATGCTGGCTTCTGACTGGTATGAAGTAGGAATTTTCACAGGTGTTTCCTCTAATCGAGGTAGCTGGACACAGGAAATGGATTTTCCCCTCCCACTGAGTTCTCCTGATTGCTAGCCTACATTGACAAAAATCAGCAGGTGATCACTCAAATGGCCCAGCTTCCCAGTAATGCGATTAGCATCTTTCATCTAAGTCTCCCAAGCACATTAGGAGGACAGCTACAGCTCTGCAACGCCCATAACTCAAATAGCCTCAATTTACAAACAAACTGATAAGGTAGCCATTGGCTGAGTGGTTTGTTTCCAAACCCAGGACCCACTCGAGCAGACTGGTAATCAGAAGCCATTGCTTTGGGCACTGTCCGCCATTAGTCTGACCTCCCCTGGACATTGCATTTTCTCCTTCGAATTGATTTTCCTGAGTCACCTAAAGCAATGGTCAGGTGAAGAATGATGTTGGCAAAGAGAAAGCAAACGAGCTGTTATGATCATTAAAACAGTGATTTTTCAGATAAAGTCATGGCTAGAAGTAGACATCTTTGCATGCTGGGAAGTATTGATTACTCCAACAAGAGAAAATAAGGTTACAACCCATGGTAATTAGGCCTGAACCAAAATAGTAATAATGTGGTTTTATAGACAGAAGAAAAAGCAGATTATTTTTACTGAATTGCTAGGGGTAATTGCAACAGAAAATCTCTGATAGCATAGACAGGTGTAACTTACCCAGGAAGCATGTAAGTGTTAGTGCTCTTTACTGCCTGGCATTTCACCAACCATGTTGTTTACAGAGGCATTTAGTCAGTTTCAGGCATATTGGCATTTTTACTTTTAATTATTCATCGTTTTGAGCATTTATCTTGCCTGCTACTATAATGAGAACTTTCATAAATGTTATAATTGAATCCTCATAATAATATACAGTAAAAACTTTTATTAGTCCAGTTTAGATGAGGGGGATTAATTAACTTGTCCAAAATCACAGATATTAAACACAAGAGACAGGACTTGATCTCACATTAATCTGACTCCAGATTTACCATTAATCACCATTAACCACCAGCTGATACCTCCCTTCTCAGTTCTGAAAAGCTTTAATGGTTTAAAATAACTTTTTCCACATAGGAAGCAATAGCCTGATTCTGATACTTTTTTTCTCCTTTTTTTTCTTCCTTGTTTGAAACTAGCCCACAAACTACAAGCACTCTGAGGCCAGCTTCAGTATTACCTTTCCTCCTTTGCAACCACCAAGATCAATGTTCAGATCCGATGGGAAAGGAACGGAGGGCTGACTCTTGAACTTTTGTCCTCTTGATATTAGCTTAGAATTTTGAGGCCAAATCAAATTAAACCAATTTGCTCCTTCTCTAACTTATGTCTGAGGACAACAATGCTTTCTCTGAGACATCTCATTCCTGAACTAACAGATCCCACGTTTCTTCATATCTTAGGTGTCCCAATTCCTTTATGTCAAGAACTCATCTTCTCTAGAGTTCCCATGACATTAGAAGCAGTCCTTATATCTACTCTGATAACAAGTTTGGTGGGTTGAAAGAAGAATTTGAAAACTATACAATTTCTTATAGATATCAGGTAATCATAGATATTCTTAGGTAGCAAGGTGCTGTGGAAAGGGTCACTCATTTGGAAAACTATAGTTTTTGTGTTCTTTAATCTCTCTCTCTCTCCCTCTCTCTCTTTCACACACACACACACACACACACACACACACACACACACACACAATATATATTGGTGGATGCTCTGGTAGAATAAACACATGAATGGTACCAAGAGGGAACAGAAAAAATAAATAAAATTCATATATATAATACTAGAGGCCTGGTGCATGACATTCGTGAACTGGGGTGGGGTTGGGGGGGGGTGGTTCCTCAGTCCAGGCTGTGCTCTCTCACAATCCGGGATCCCATGAGGGATGTCTGCCTGACGGCTTAGGCCCACTCCCCACGGACATCCCGAGGGGTTCTTAGCGCTGCCACGGAGGTGGGAGAGGCTCCCCCCACCACTGCTGTGCTCGCCAATTGTGAGCCTGGCTTCTGGCTGAGCAGTGCTCCCCCTGTGGGAGTGCACTGACCACCAGAGGGCAGCTCCTGCATTGAGCGTCTGCCCCTGGTGGTCAGTGTGTGTCATAGCGTCCGGTCATTCCACCATTGAGTGAATTTGCATATTAGCCTTTTATTATAATATATATATATCAGCTCACTAGACACCTCACTATGGTAGATTGCAAAATGGGCCATTGATCTCCATCCCTTTCTATACTTTTGTTCTTAGCAATGTGTATTTCTAGCTCTTCCAATCAAAAGATGGAGTCTATTTATCTTTCCTTTAACTATGGGTTGATATTCTGGCTGCTTTTAGCTAAAACAATGAGGCAGAATGATGCTGTGCTGGTTCTGAGGCTAAGCCTAAAGAAGTTTGCAAGCTTTCATGCAGTCTCTTAGAAATCTACCCAGCTGCCATGTGAAAACTGCAGGCTAACCTGCCAGAATACGCAAGACATGGAACAGAGATGAGCTGTCTGTCATCCTTGAGGCCATCTGAGATAAGCCAGTACCTGGCCAACCTAACAGTTGACCACAGGCTCATAAGTGAGACCAGCTGAGATCAGAATAACTACTAAGCTAAAGCTTCCCCAAATTGCCAATCTGCAGATCCATGGACTAAATAAGTAGATATTTTAAAGCCACTAGGGTTTTGTTTTTGGTGTGTGTATGTGTGTGCTTTTTGGGGGGAGAGGGGGTCGTTACACAGTAAAAGCTAACTGATATTCAATGTCTGCAGCTAATGTGTAATATCCTCAAGAAACAAGCTGCTTTTGTCTTAATAATATATGTCTGGTATTGCTAGTTTTTGTTTAAAAATATCTTAAAAAATAAAAATAAAAGGAAAGAATAGGCCACACTGACCAAGTGAGAGACAAACTTTCTTTGTCCTTAAACACCACACATCTGGCCATGGACCAATAAATCATGGCAGTTAATGCACACTCTTACATTCAAGAGGGTTCATACAAGTGGCTATTTCTATATGACATGAAAACATCTGATTCTGCCTTCTTCTCACTCTGCCCTTCTGTCTCAGTCAGGTATGTAAAGCCAAGAAGTTCCTAACAAAAAGAAGCATCAAAGACCTTACAGTAAACTGTCACCTTTCCCATTGTCCTCATGAATAGATTCTGTTTTGACATCTATCACCCTTGGCAATTCTCTGGTGGGTCTTCAAGATTTATGTTCCAACCTTTCTGAAGGCTGTTCTAAATCTCTTTTGCATGTAATATGCACTCCATTGCTTTTCCAAACTGAAAAATCTAAATGAGAAAATGACAATGGACCCAGTTATTATAAATTAATCACTGATGAAGACAGAACATTTTCTATCACATTATGAATTCAGAGGAACTCAATTCCCATTTGGAACTTCTGAGATTCAATGTGCTTTATGCACTTGTCAATCTTCCAGTCTTAAAATGACATACTGGCAGTACTTGGTAAGAATGTCAAGGGATATTAATCAGAAATCAAAGCAATTTAGTATGTAATTTGCAAAGCAATAACACTTATGTAATAACAATTGCCAAGTTTTAATTTGTACATTATTAACTATGTTTGTTGCCGGCACTGTAGTTATATTTTGATTAGAGTACAAACTGACTAATTATACTACCGGAATGGGAAGACTGACATCACCACTTATGAGCTGTTTAACCTTGGACAAGTTCACTGATATCTCAATGCCTGAGTTTCCACACCTCAAAAGTACGTCTACACTGGTCAATATGAGGATTAAATGAGCTACATATTTTTGAATCTAATATGCTGGAGGCACTGTTATGTTATATACCAGTAGAGAAAAAATGGCATTGAATTACATACTGATTTTGGAGAGTTTAAATGTAGGGGCGAGAAAGAACATCTTAGAATCGATGAGATTCAGTAATATTGGCAAAGTGCTATATATGTTTTTGCTAAAACAAACAAACAAATATATGCAGTGTTTCCCATATTTTATCAATGTTCTTACCTTATTTAAAAAGAAAAAAATTATGGAATTTCCACAACCCTATGTTGAAAAACTATTTCAAATAACATGCCATAAATATAAACTAAGAGGAGACTGTAAACATCTTATGTTTATAAAACTTATCCAAAAAAAAAAAAATAAAGAAAGAAAATGTGAAGAGGAAAAGAGAGAGTTGATCATTCAGATAACCTGGTTTTCTACCCAGGTTATTAGTAATCTATTTTTGCCCACCCCTGTATTTTGGGGCAAAATTCTTTTCAGAAATATGTTATCTTTAAAAATCAGTGTTAAGTATGACTTAATAAAGACAAATGATGAGGAAATGTGATTTTTTCCAATTTAGTTCATTTTATGGAAAACTTACTTAATCCTTCAATGACAAGTTCAGCTGTTTAAAAAAACAACACATGAATACCTAAAAACATTTAAATGGCACAACCACGTCTACAGTCACATGTTTTTAGTTATTTGAAATAAGTCTTGGTTCTGCATGTCCAGTGATAAGATAAATATTACCAAGGCTGATTCTGTCACTCAGAATGGACTTAGGGGATCTGTAAAATAATAAACATCATGAACAACAATAGGGTGGAGAAGGCCTGAGGTGGGGGCGGGGCAGGCTGGAGGGGGTCAACGTGGATGGGGGTTTGGGGGAGGAGAGGACATTATGTAATACTTTCAACAATAAAGATTTATTTAAAGAAAAACAAACTTATCTGAGAAACCAAGATGGTGGCATAGGTAAACACCGGAAGTTGCTGCCTCAAACAACCACTTCAAAAATACAACTAAAAGACGGAACGGACATCATCCAGAACCACAGGAAGGCTGGCTGAGTGGAAGTTCTACAACTAGGAGGAAAGAGAAAAACATACCGAGACTCAGAGGAGGCGCAGTGCTGAAGTAAAATACTAAGGTGCAGAGTGCATGCGGAGCGGGCTGGCAGCTGAGGGTGCAGTTGTTGTTTCCAATCGGGAGGGAGTCTCAGGCTCTGAGCTTCAGTTACGGGGGCGAGTCTCTAGGGACCCGGACTCATACAGGAGAAGTGGGACTGTCTGGCATCGCTCAGAACCCTAGGGCAGCTTTCTCTCTGTTGGGGCTTGCAGCAATTACTGGGACACTGAGAAGCAGAGCCTCTGGGGGCAAGACTGAGAGCAGCCATAATTGCTAACCCTGCCCTGTTGATCCCGTGGGACCTGCCCAGCCCAAGCCCTGCAGGGAGACTTTTGCTGAATAGCCTCGGGCAAAGGATAGATTAGCACCTCCCTAGAGATCCAGGAGCCAGGAAGCCCAGAGGTCAGAGTGGGACCATCCAGTTTGCAGCTCCGTGGAACCATAAAAGACACACTCAGGGGCAGGCTCAGTGAGCACCAAAGCCCCATCGAAGCAAGTATAGCCCCAGGGGGTGTCTCCAGCACAGAAGTTCTCCCACTGCAGACACAGCTGATTCTCACAGCCAATTGGCTTGGAGGTCAATTCCTCACAGTGATAACTACAACAATCAAGGCTTAACAACAACAAGACTGTGCACAAAGCCCACAAGAGGGTGCACCAAGAGTGTCTACCTCAGGTAATTGGGACACTTAGCACAGAAAGGCACTCTATCGACACAGCGAAGCATAAAAAATACTGAGACAAAGAAACAGTACACAAACAACAGAATTGGAGGAAAGCAAACTGTTGGATATAGAGTTCAAAACCACACTTTTAAGGTCTTTAAAGAACTGTCTAGAAGCCGCCGATAAATTTAATAAGGCCCTCGAAAAGACTGGTGAGACCGCCGATAAATGTAGTGAGATCCTCAAGAAATCTAATGAGACCCTCGATGTTGTGATAAAGAACCAACTAGAAATTAAGCATACACTGACTGAAATAAAGAATATTATACAGACTCCCAACAGCAGACCAGAGGGTTGCAAGAATCAAGTCAAAGATTTGAAATACGAAGAAGGAAAAAACACCCAACTGGAAAAGCAAAATGAAAAAAGAATCCAAAAATACGAGGATAGTGTACAGAGCATCTGGGACAGCTTCAAGCGTACCAACATCCGAATTATAGGGGTGCCAGAAGATGAGAGAGAGCAAGATATTGAAAACCTATTTGAAGAAATAATGACAGAAAACTTCCCCTACCTGGTCAAAGAAATAGACTTACAAGTCCAGGAAGCACAGAGAACCCCAAACAAAAGGAATCCAAAGAGGACCACACCAAGACACATCATAATTAAAATGCCAAGAGCAAAAG